ATCACATTTCTGAATATCAACCCAATTTACCTCAAATTTGGGTGATAAAACAGCCCTGGGCAACTGAATGAAAAAAGAGGAAAAACAAGCTTTCTGCCTCCAGCAATCTTTATCACTCCCTTATCCACAGCATCATTTTTAAAAGGCCTACTGTTGAAGAATACCGAAAGGAGTGATACCAACATTGCCTCAAACTCAAAATATGCTCAAGTCTTTTCCCCAGACCTCATGTGGGGAATTTAAATTATTTATTTTCCATCAGTTTTCATCATTTGGTTTCCAGACTGAGACAGGCTGTCTGTTCTGACTGGCAGGGGTTGAACAGAAAGCTTTTCAGCTGTGACAGGGAGGGGTTGAAATAGGCTTTGAGTTAACCTTGCAGGGCAAAGCCAGATGACATCAGACTTCCTTGTCCAGACTTGGCTTAACAGCTAACAATCAAAATTTACTCCAGCCAAATGCCAAACCTCCATATTCCACTGAGCCCAAACTCACCCCAAGGATACCAGAGAATCAACTGTCTTTTCCTCAGATCCTCTCCATATTCTCCATTTCTCAAGCAGCTCTGAGCCATGCAGGGCAAGGAGCTTCAGGCACAAAAGTCCTCTTTGGTACATGAAAAAACAGTACTTAATTTTCCCCCCAAATACCTTTTTGTCCAGTTCTTATTCAACAATTTCTGTGTTGTGCCAGGACTTCCAGGCACAACCTCACCTTTCACTTTACTTTGTTTACATTATTCTTTGACTTCAGTAAAGTTCTTGTGAGATCCCCATGGGACTGTGCTAACCCGACACTCAAGACAAAGGGCAGCTCCACCTCATAGTTGCTGGCAGCAACACTGGACAAAAACATGGTATGGCATAGGCACTGCCAGTTTCGACAGATCACAGCTCAAACGGTAGCACCAATAACTGCTAAAAATCTCCATTGCTAGAGGTAATCCCTGCACATTTCACAGATGCCAGTGTTTTCGGTGGCAAGCGACTTGGTGACATTACCTCAAAACCATAAATGTCCATACAGCATGGGCTACACACACACAACCCAAGATCTTTTTCAAGTGCTGCAAAGCAGTATCTAATCCTGCTTTAAATACGTCTTCTTTGCCAAAGGACCAATTCAGTCCAAAATATCCACACTGAAGGGGTTTAATTGAGTTACCTAAATAACGACGTCTAGTCCCCTTGCCACAAACCTGTCCTTTGGTTCCCACTGACATCAGTGTTGCAGCTGCAAATGACACAAATAACCAAATTTGCAAGTTCTACTAGTCCAACCATATTTCTCTCTAACTAAATAATCATCTCACTATCCTTCTGGTCTTGTTTTTGAGTCTGTTGTGCAAAACACCTAACATGCCTCTGAAATGCATTCACTTACTGCTCGAAGCATTGCAACATTTGGAGCCAGAAAAAGGATATTATTATAATAACGCTTTTTGCTATGTGGAAGCCAGGCTTGCCTTTCTGATGGGAGAACTAGCCTACAGATTTGAAATGCTCTACACAGGAAAATGGAGGGTGTCAGTAACGTGTATTTCCTTCCACACTCCCTGCAGAGCAGTACCAGGTCACTGGAGAAGACTAAAAGACTAACTACATGTCTGATTTTTTTATGGTTTTCTCCTCTCTTTTTTTACAGGAATAGTAGAGAAGAGTGGGTCTGAGCAAGATAAAAATCTTCACTTTGAAATGAGTGCACTCTGCAGGTACCCAGAGGGTACCCCAAGGGCCCTACAAATAGCAGCCAGGTCCGAGGAGGCTGCTGTTTAGCCTGTAGCCCAACAGCCACCTCAGGCAAGCTCCAACCTCTACACTGTTACTGGAGTCACTTGCAAAGGGGAGAAAACAGATTTTCAGTCATGTGTGAGATGGATGGTAGATCCTCTCCACCACATCCAAGTTGGGTTTGGAGGGCAGGAATACATCAGAGTTTCATAGCCCTGCTCCCAGGGTGCAGCCTGATAGTTCCTACTGCAAGAGCCAAACACAATGCTGTTCAGCAGGGTCACTTGAAGTTCAGTGAACATAAAGCCCTTAAGAGAAGACCTAACAGTTGAAGTGACATAAACAGCCTGCCTTTTTAAGAAACAAGAGAGCAGATTCATAACCCCTCACTGGGACCAAGCTGTCAGCAGGTGGCGCTGACCCAGATAACATTACTAGGAGGTTACAGAAGTGTTTTTTCTTCTTCGAACAACTTCACGGCAAAGCTGGAGACAGAACTTACTAAGCCATTGAAAACCAGTTTTATCCTGAGTTCTTACCTGCAGTGACCTTGTGCAAGTCCTGTTGCCTGATCTGCACAATGTGTGAATCCCAGCCTGCGGTGATGTGTCTGCTAGAATCCCCTTAGTTCAATTCATCAACGTTAACCCAAAGAGGAAATAAAAACAAACGAGACCATCAAGAGCACTTTCCACCACCTAGGAGCATCCTAGCTGCCCTCAGATTATGACATCTGGGTGTGGGGAATAGATTGTGCATGCCCAGAAATTAGTGGCCAGCGAACAATTGAGAAGTGCAGCTTTGATAAAAGCAAGAGGACAGAGTGGTGTCTCTTCCACTTTCTTCCCAAAGAATGGGATCCAGCTGTGCTTCCCTCCTCCTTCACTGAGTCCCAGTCTTTGTTTAAATGAGAATGTTCCATGCCATGGCATAGGCTCTCCAAACAACCCTCCTGTGATGTGGTATTCCCTTCCTCTCTGATACCGGGCAAGCCAGGAGGTCAGTGGGGCAGATGGCTTGGGATCAACAGTGTAAAGCAGAGCTGGTTCCTTTGTCACCTCACCTATGACGCCAATTTTAACTTATTGAGATGCTTTTTCATTGAGTGCTCAACATTGAGACTCGTGGGAAGATTTAAACTCCAAAAAGATTAAAAGTAACATGTAAATAATGGTCTGCTTAATATTAAGTTCTTGTGTATTTACAAGGTAAAAAAAAAAATAAGGCCAATTAACTGTATTTGCAGTATTATGTCTGTCATAAGCACTTTAATTCAGTTCAAGTAAACTTGAGCCAGAAAAAGGATAAAAAGGAATAAGCCCATTAAAAGACCCATAGCTAGCCAAAGGGAAGGTCTTAGTAACCTCTAAACAGCCAGTTAATGGCTATATCTACTTTGAGACAGTTCTCTTCCATCCTTTTATGAAGCAGAAATCAAAAATAGTTGAAAAAACCCAAAAGGGCAACAAGGTCAAGATAAAGAGAATGTGAGTGCACATTCATCACTGCAAAGTAATTGTTCAAAGCACATGTAAATGAACAGATGAGCTGCCTGACTTCAGCAGATCCTCACTCAAGAGCTGGAGCACACAGTTGAGAACTTACCTCTTGTTAGGAGAACTCAATCACATTGAAAGCTTGCCCAGTTCAGCATACAGGTCAGTCCACCTAGACAACCCAAACCAGTATCTTCATCCATTACATTGCCAATGACTTTTGATCTGAGCTTAAGGATTTAAGCATTCTTTTCAGCACCAGCCCATCTCCACACAGGCATCCTGCTTGCTGGTCTACAGCCATTACCAAGACTGAGTAAATACAGCAGCTTTGTTATCTCAAGGACTCTCCAGAGCTGCTTACAGTACAAATGCTCTAACTGCTGCTGCAGGATTAACCAGGAAAAGCCCTGGAGTAGGCAAATACACTGTCAAGTACTGTAATACACCTCAACACCCAGACAGGTTGTGCTACACACATCTCCATGTACGTGGTGGCCAGGTCAGGCAATGCCTCACTGCCATTTCCAAAACTGCTCTCTAAAACACAACCAAAGAAACAAACCAGGCTGTTTCTGTTGTGTTCAACTTAAAGTTAACTAGAAAAACATGACTCAAAGTCAGAGGATCACAACTCTGTAATGGACTGTGCTCTTTCCCCCAGGTCATCTTCTCTCATGCCAAATGCCTGCATTGTCTAGACGTATCTAACTTCTCAGTGCAGAGATTGTCACTCATGACCTGCAAATTTTTAAGATGCCCCAGTTTCTGTGGTTCTTAACTCCCTTTCAGAAATTTTACCTGTCATTAGCACAGGGCAGAACTGTGGGATGTGATGCACCTTGGACACCAGGGCAAAGAGTGGTATACATAACACAAAAAGGCAATTGATAGTTTGATTGGGGGGAAAAATGAAAAAGAGATGCATAATTGGCACTATCACCCTAGATCCACCACCATAAAATAACCCCCTGAGAGGCACCATGCTGCGGAGGGATAACTTCACAGACCTCAGCTGAGTTCCTGTGATACATACATTGTAACAGAGGCGATTCCAGGTCTCCTGTGTACAGCAAGGTTAAAACGTGGTTAAAATGCACTTGGAGTCTAAAGTCCAAACTATAGACCTGGGAGATGATAGGCATGAGCTCCATTTGTTTGTAAACTGGTATTTCTGGGGCACAATTCTTGCATCAAGATGAGACTGCTCAGTAGCGTGTCTTTGAGTTCAACACAGAAAGGATTCAACTAGCTCCCAGAGAATAGCACTGAAAATCCCCTGCTGCCAGAGTCATTTCGCCTTGGTGGAGGAACACGGCTGTCCGTGCTACATGAGGATCCAGTCTCTGGTTAGTTGCCTCCTCAGTCCCTTAATTCTCTTCTCTTCAGGAACTAGGGCGCAAGCTCTCAGTATTTCAATGTCACCACCCCAATGCATTTGCATAAGTGCAAATGAGGGATGGAGGAGGGGGATATTCCTGCAGATGAGAGTACAAGTTCTAGCTCAAAAGAGGTATTTTTGACTGCTTCAGTGTTTCTGCTGTCCCCATATTACCCCTACTCTCTGTCCCTCCTTCCTGATCTAATACCTGACGAAATCTCTGATTTTCACCCCTCATACAGGAGCTCTCCCCAGATTGGAGGATCTCAACATTGAGGTGATAGGAGCACTGGACATTTTTGGTGCTTGCCTTTGGCCTTACCCCACAGCAGAGAATCATGTTGCGCTCTCCCTTCTGCTTCCTTGTACTCTAGGACTTGTCTTGACTCTCTAAGCACTGTCTTTACTGCTTGCAGCTGTAGACCACCTCTTCCTGCATGCACTGTTGGCACTCAACATAGCAACACCACTGCACCTGACAGTGGCAAGAGAAGGTAACCAGCCGGCTCTGGGTGTTATAGCCTCGTCCACAGCACATGCTGTCACAGTTGCCTTCCCGAGAGCAGGTCCTCCCAGCAGTTCCCAGGGAGTATTTGCTGGGACGACAGAAACTGGGGGAGTCTTCCACATATACCAGGTCAGTAGAGCGGGGTGAAGCAGGGTGTTTGGGGGAATGGCTGTGTCTCTGTGGGCCAACCAGCTCCGAGTGTCCCACAGCATCATTGGTGGTGCTGAAGACCTTGACCGCATCATCGTAGCGCAGCTTCAGCAGTCGTCCAATCTCATGGAACGGCGAAAGCTGCTTCCAGCATGTCCGGACAGCACAAGAACCAGAGACACCATGGCACTTGCATGTGGTCTTGAGACCATTTTTCACAGCCTGATGAGGAAGAGAAGTGGTAGTCATTATCTGCCAGGACCATGAGCCTAGTTCTGGGTAGAGACACCACTTCAGATTGCAGACAGCCTGGAAGTACTTCAATTTTATTGGTATTATTCCTATTGTATGGAGGAAAAACTAAAAAACAAATCAAAACAGAGGAACGGCTACAGCGTTGACTGGTGAGCAGAGAGTAGAAAGTCTGAATGAGGACAAATGGCTGAATACTGCATACATTCTTACTAAGCCTATTTGGAATAGCAGGAGTAGTCAACGATAAAACTATCTCCAGCATAGTGGATTCCCTTTGGTATATTCAAATGAAGATGGTGCTCTAATCGAAGAAGTAATTGGACTCAGTAAATGGAAAACAATGATAAGTCAGTAGCCTGTAACATACAGGCCAAAATGCTTCATCTAATGGTCTCCCTGACCCAAACTTGTGACATGACTAGTTCCACAGCAAATCACCAGCAGACTCATAATTGATCTCAAGAGTGTCAACTCCTAATCTACTTCACACGTTCCACCAGCTCTGAAGCTCTAGCTGTTCTCAAAACTCCCTGTGGCCATGGCATAACCCTTGGAGTAATTCAGCCGCTGAATTTTACAGCTGTTACCATGCTGCATATTGCTATCACTCAGCCCCTGATTCCAGTAGAGAATACAGGATGCTACTCTAGCACTCAACATGCAACTCCTCACACTAGAGTCAGGAGACTTTCCAGGGAGCTCTCAGTACCATAAGATCCATGACAAATAGGTAAACAGGTCTGGTTTGTGAGTAGGCACAGTGAATACCCCTCTCACAACAGCCTCAGCTGAGGATGGGTTAGAAGACTTGCACTGAGTCCTAACTTCATTCTAGGCCTGCTAGTGCAGCTCCTCACCTTGATGCCAACATTGGTGTTGTGGATGTCCACCTTGGCCCGTAGGTCTTTACCAATCCTCTTCTGACCCAAGAATTTTTTCAGGAACTTGGTGCTGTATTTGAGGTTGTCTCCACAAACACCCCATTGCCAGGCCTTGCGGTTCTCCAGGTCTGGGGAGTCATCGCAGGTGCAGCGTTCCATGCGCCCAGCACTACACGCTCTGGCCAAGGAGTGGGTGAGAGCTGCAGAGGACACTGCATAGAGGAAGGCAGTTTCCTTAAAACCTGCACAGGAGAAGGATTAGGAGAGGGTAGGAGTAGGAAAGGCAAAATAAGGTGTTCATCCAGCTCACTGGCTCTTCTGACTGTCCATGAACTAAAACCAAGCACAATACTTAGAAATACAAAGAGACAAAACTCTTCCATTACCTGCACACCATTCCTAGCCAAGAAACTCCATATCATGTTTGAAGTAACTGGTGTAGTAACACCCCAGTCTCAGCTGGTGGCTATGACTCATTCAATATGGAGACAGGAGACTGTCTCCCATGGCATTCTTCTGGAGAA